TCTTGCTACCTGGGAAACCATTGGTTTAATCTTTTGTGTAAATAATTAGCAGCTGTTAATTGTTGTGGTTTTTGTGGTTCATTTCAATTGGCTCTTGGGCTTAGTTTTGTATTCATGACATGTCTTCAAAATTTTATTCAGCTTTCCTTTTGAAATCATCATCAGTGAATTATTTATTTATTTATTTTTTACAGCTTATGTTCTGCTCAGCGGGAGGAATGGCTCCTCTCTTTACTCCTGGAGAACTGATGTTGGTCAGTTTGCTATGATTTTGAGGGCCCCTCCAGCCATTAGGTTCCTCTCCTTGATCGTCCAAGACCTCAACACCACCAAGATCTTCTTGGCTTCCTCTGAGGACAATGGTTCTACAATTTACGAATTCACTTCTGTCTCCAATTTCTCTGACTTCATACCAAGGTACCTAGATTATTTCAATATAAGTTTTGTCTCTGAAAGCAGACCCAGCAGCTGTAAAAGACGTCTCCATTTCCTCACTTTCAGTTTTGGAGTGTTGCACTTTGCACCAGGTGACAGAGAGCTGGAGATTGCAGTGAACGTCATTGATGATGACATCCCTGAGGTCCAGGAGTCTTTCCAGGTTAACCTGAAGAATCCAAAGGGTGGGGCTGAGATTGGATTTGGTGGTCAGGTGACCATAATTGTCCCAACCAATGATGATGCCCATGGTATCATTGGGTTTGCAGAAGTAAGACGACACACAGTCAAATAGCATTTTCTATCGTCTTATCAAAGTTATTGTATCATAGCTATACTGTTAGCAAAGATGCGCTTGTTTAATGCATGACTAAAGATATTTTTCAAGGACAAATATTTTTCCTCTGAATCTTTGTAGAATTCTTTGTCCGTGGAGGTGGAGGAGTTGGAGCAAAATAATCCGATTTCTCTAAGTGTGGAGAGACAAAGGGGGACTTTTGGCAGGCTGACTGTTCACTGGGCTGCGAGTGGCAGTGTGACAGATATTTACCCTACTTCAGGAGTAGTGAGTTAAACCTTTAACTAGGGCACTGACATGATTTGTTTGTGTATAGTTTTCAAATATTTGTTTTTTTTTTTTTTTACAAAATAGAGCAGACATTGTTTTGAGTAATTTCTAAAGTGCACCAGGGGAGTTCCCACTGCTACGCTAAATAACATAATACACCTGTGTCAGCTCCTACTACTGTATATTTTACTGTGATATACTTAACTGTAGGCAGAAAGTACAAGTCGGTAACAAAAGAAGAAAACAAGCAGGGGTTAAAAGAATGCAGTGTCATTAATATACAGTATGGTACTAGTTTGGACACATTTGTTTTAAAAGTGTTCATCTCTTCCTTAGGTTACCTTCTCAGAGGAGCAGTCCCTGGCTATCATCTCACTGGTTGTTATAGCAGATGGCCTCCCAGAGCTTAGAGAGAGCGTGACCATCACCCTCATAGATGTCACAACTGTGGAGCTTCAGGACCAACAACAGGCTGCAGTCATTGACAAGCAGCGGGCACAGGCTAAACTCATCATTCTACCAAATGGCTCCCCCTATGGGGTGATTGGATGGCATCTGGACTCCCAGTTTACCCTCACACAAGAACCACAGAGTAATTATCTAATGCCTGTCCATCAGTGGGTTTGGTTTGGACTCCAGAGGAAATTTGTCTTTTTAGATTATTCATGTTATTTTTTGTATTAATAAACAGGTTCTTTTTTAATTCTCAATTAGTTATTTCCTCTTTCTGTTCCATTATTTGGGAACTAACCTGCCCTGTTTTCTTCACGAGGTCTCCTAAGAGACTTCTTTTTGGTAATCACTTAAGGAGATTTACTGTAAAAGAGATTTTGCAATGATTTCCCGAATGTGCAGCATTTTATTTGGGATTGATGGTAATCTGTGTATTTGAAACCGGCCCTAGAGTGTCAGAAATGGGGATAGGGAAGTACAAAGAATAACTCTTAAAACCTGAGAAGTTTATTTTCTCTAAATATTCCATTATTTGTTTTTAAACAAATTTTATTCTGTTTGTTTTTCTTCTAATCCACAGGAAGTCCTACTAACGTGACCCTGTCTATAGTGAGGGAACAGGGCTCTTTGGGTGAGATAGCAGTCCATTACCAGACCCTACCTGCTCTGTACCAGCCACCCAATAACCAAGCCACAGCTGGAAAAGACTACATCCCCAAAGACAACACTATCATCATGATAAATGGCGCTACTGTGGCCATTGTCACTGTCACAATCCTCCCGGTAGGAACTGAGTATTACTTGATGAAGTAGTGAATTAAATGTGGTAAATGAAAGGAACTTTATTAAGAAACCATCTTTCCCACACTCTTTTGAAATTATTTGTTCATAAAAGGCACAAACTATCACCACATTTATTGTGTTTATCGTATACAGCTTAAATTTGTCATACTACAAGATTCATTAATATATATTTACTTCATTTGTGGTTTCTAAGGATGACATCCCAGAGCTGGCAGAGAGTTTCCTGGTAAATATCACTGGTGTGGAGCTGATGTCAGGGTTGATCGGAGCAGGGCAGCCCACTGTGAAGAGACTCAGTATGGAGGTTGCAGAGGTCACCATTCAGGAGAATGATGACCCCAGGGGGATTCTGCAGTTTAATGTTTCTAAGGTGAGCCCAGTGTCATCTTTAGACAGCGAGAGAGAGAAATTTGTGTTAGAGATTCATCAACTCATCTGTGAATTCACCTGAGGTTGAATTATTGAACTGGATGAAGCAGTATTTTACAAGTATGTTCACAGCCTTGTCACCTCCCGCCTTGACTATTGCAACTCCCTCCTCTTTGGTCTCACCCACAAGTCTCTTCATAAGCTCCAACTGGTCCAGAACTCAGCCGCCCGCATCATTACTAGAACCCCTTCCATCCACAACATCACTCCTGTCCTACAACAGCTTCACTGGCTCCCGATCAAGTTCCGTATTAACTACAAGATCCTTCTGCTCACATTCAAAGCCATCCACAACTCTGCTCCACCATACATCTCAGATCTTCTTCATGTCGCTGTTCCCTCCCGCTTCCTCAGATTGTCCTCCTCCATTCATCTGACTGTCCCCTCCTTCCGTCTCACCACCATGGGGTACAGAGCTTTCAGTCGCTCTGCTCCCCAGCTCTGGAACTTTCTACCCCCGTCTTGAGGAACATCAATTCACTGCCACAATTCAAGTCCGATCTTAAAACTGATCTATTTAAAATAGCCTTCTCCATCTGATATTTCACTGCTGTATTTTAACTTGTTCTTAATGTTTTATATTATTATTATTATTATTATTATTATTATTATTATTATTATTATTATTATTATTATTATTATTATTATTATTATTATTATTATTATTATTATTATTATTATTATTATTATTATTATTATTATTATTATTATTATTTTTATTACAAGTGCAGTTTAAATATTTTACAGGAGCTGGCATTTGAGATACCTCCACCAGACAACATCTTCTTCCTGTCAGTGGTGAGACTGGCTGGTACAACTGGAAGACTGGTCGTCTACTGGGAAGCTCAGCCAATCACTGCTCAGCATGATGATTTCAGCCCCTCTTCGGGAAACATCACCTTTCGAGATGGACAGGTAGAAGGATTTTCCAGACTACCAACCTAACACCTTTGTGTTATGCTGATGCTGACTAAAGCTTTAACCTCCTGCTCTATTTCCTCAGAGTGGGGCCAGAGTTGCCCTCACCATCCTGGATGATGAAGAAGCGGAGAGTGTAGAAAGCTTTAGAGTTAATTTGTTGCGTGTGATTGGTGGAGGTCGACTTGGAGATGTGACCTCAGTAATCGTCAGTATTCCAGCCAATGACTCGCCTTTTGGACGATTTGGATTCCAGAAATTAGAGGTGAGGTTTTATTTATTACCACAATGAAATGTTCTATATTACTGTTTTCAGGTAGCTGTGGTTTTAGCTATTAAAATACCGTCTTCCAAAAATAAAATGTTGGTACTAAAGTAGTAAATTGAAATGTCTTAAATGGGTTTTAATCAAACCTCTCATTGTTGAACTATTATTTCTTTTTAATTAATTCACTTTTTTTCTTAGTTTTTGACTCTCAGAGATAAGATGTTATTAATTATTTTAGGGTACTGTCAGTGAGCCTGAGTTTACGGACGACCCTGCTGCTGTGACAACACTAACAGTGCTGCGTAGTGCAGGAGGTGAAGGAGCTGTGACGCTGCTGTGGCAGCTGGAGGATCAGGCCAAGGACGACCTCTCACCTTTTAATGGAACACTTGTTTTCACAGAGGTAAACATTAATGTACATCAAAGATTACATCGTCAGTGAACATGTAGCATACAGTTTCCTAATTTTAGAAAAATTTAACCACCAACCTTTCTCATCTTGCAGACTGAGTCTGTGAAGACGTTTGTAATTAAAGCCCTCGCTGACGCCGTACTGGAAGGAGAGGAGCATTTCACTCTCAGGCTGTTTCCAGCTGTGAGCGACGCAGTCATCGACCACTTGAATGGTTAGTCTAATAAATATTATACAAATAAAGCATTTGATTTATTCAGTGGTTTATAAACACATTTAGAATAGAGATGTTTTCAACTGTTTATTTGTACATGGTCACAATCAAAACAAACGTTTTACCACTACAAGTTAAAATTAAAACAGTAATTAAATCACCAGAGGCATGCTTGACTGTGAATGTGCCGACACCCTCCTGTGGCCACAACCCCATGTCCAAGTGGATATTTAAGTAAGGAGTCACTCTAAATTAAAAAAACGTTATCAACCTACAGCAGGGTTTCCATTGTATGTATGACTGTGAATTATTTACAGCTACACAATTTAATTGTTAACCTGATGGGACAAACGCAGGATCGCTTACAGACCAATAAAATCTCATCATGAAGCCCTTGATTGACAAGACTGACACTAACATCAGTATAAGATATTTTAGAAAAAAATTGTAAAATATAATAATTAAAGAAATAGTTTTGACCACCTTTTCTGCTCTCAGATTCTCCTTTTACAGTAGGTAGTGCATTGAGAACTCCAAAATGTTGCCCTTTTAAAAACTGAAGACCATTGTTCTGCTGTGGTGTAAGTGACTAAGTGCAGCTCTGGGAGGGATGAAGGCCACATTTGAAAGGAATAAGTTACCAATTAGCTCAAAAACGTGCACTGACTGCAAGTACTTAGCATTGATTTCAAACTGTCTTTAATTTTCAGCCTCTTTCTGAAGGAATAAATTCCATTTAGTTGTTAAAGGAGCAGTGCATGTTTTTCCAACTTCTGACTGCTGATTTTCTACGTTTTGAGCAAACCAAGACTAGCATTTTAGTCCTGAATGTCTTCAAAACTTGGAATTCAGTAATCTGTGCATTATTTAAGTGTTGTGGTGTGCAGTAACTTTATATTGCTGTTGTCCGACACACTTGCAGACATGGTCACCATCACCATTAGAGCAGACAAAGCTGCCCTTGGGATTATCGGAATAGCAGATTTCTCCAGGAAGGTTATCATAGGGGAACCTCAGGGAGAATACAACGGTACATCTGTGGTCAGGTAAGCTTTGTACCTTAAACTACTTTTAAACATTTATCTGCTTCCATCTATTAACTATAAAGTTAAAGATGTGAAAACCACTGTGTCCATGTATGTGTTATACACAGCATAGTGCGTGGACCAGGAGTGTATGGAGCGGTCCAGGTGTTCTGGAACATCACACCAGCTGCCGATTCTGAGTTTGAATCACTGTATGGCACATTGACAATGAGAGACAGACAGTCTGCTGCCAACATTATCCTCAAGGTGCTGATAAATGAAAACAACAAGATCAAAAGTGTTTTCTATAAAGGTTCCAACATTTGGCTCACATTTGTAATGATTCCAGGCCTTAGATGATGAACTCCCTGAGGAGCGATCTGAATACCAGCTGACACTGACATCCGCAACTCCAGGACTAGAGATAAGCCCTATAGCCAGGCATGCTACGATCTTTATGGCTGCTAGTGACAATCCCCACGGCCTTTTCTCCTTCACACAGCAGCGAATCAGTGCAACAGAAGAGGATGGCATGGTGAGCAACCGAAATTGAGTATTTACACTTGAGTCATAAAACACAAATTCATCATGATCATTTTCATTTATCCCTCAGGTAAATGTGACCATATTCCGCTCTTTAGGCAGTCTGGGCAGTGTACGGTTGACCTATGCGACCTCTGGTGACACTGCAGTCAGCGGAATGGACTTTATTCCAGCTTCAAAACAAATTATTTTCAGTCCGTATCAAACTTCACAGCAGGTCACACTGTATATTGAAGATGACAGTCTTCCAGAAGGGCCTGAGAGATTCTTCTTTAACATTACTGGAGTGGAGATTGTCAATGCCAGGTAACATATCATGCTGCTGTAAAATGGAACTCTTACAAATATATGTTTGCGTTACAAAAATATGTTTTGTAGTGTCTGAAAAGAAACGTTTTTTTTTTAATTATGAAAATATCATATTGTCGTGACCTGTAACTCTTCTTCTTGTGTCTCCCTCTGGTGGTCAGCTTTATAAACTACACAATGATAGAGCCAGGTCTCCAGCTGGACCAGCCTCCAACTATAGGCAAAAACTCTTCTCTCACTGTGGTCATACTGAAGAATGACAACATAGAGGGGATTCTGGAGTTCAGACAGGACTATGGCAATTTTACAGGTAATAGTTTAAGGAGTTAGATATGACAAATATACCTTAACAGCATTTACTACATTTAATCCCTAACTTCTTTTTTTTCTTTTAACCCTTAGTGGAGGAAGGAGTTGACAGTGTGCTGATTCCATTAGTGAGAAGAGTGGGAACCTATGGCGACATCTTGGTTCAATTTAGCTCAAAAGGCTTAAGTGCAACCTCTGACCTGGACTACATCCTTCGTGATGGCTCAGTGATGTTTACCCACGGCCAGAACACCAGCTACATTAACGTTACCATTATAGATGACCTGGAGAGGTAAGAAGGTTTTATCAGTCAGACATCATCTCTTTCTTATATACAGTGTAGTAATAATACATCACCTTATCTTGAAAAAAAATCATCATAACAACCAACAGAATTATCAACATCAAAAATGTTCGAATATTAAAGTGAGTAATAAGAGAGAGAAAGATTTATATATATTTCCTCTCAAAATATTTTTAAGGAAAAATCAAACATTTGGAATTTAATCTTTGACATATGGTACATAGAAATAAAATTATGTTACTTTACTTGCAATCCAGATCACAAAAAACATCTTGGTAAAGTTATAAAATGAAATTAATGTAAAAAAATATCCATTGTGATCTTGCAAAAATATTTTGTAATTAGTGATCTGAGGTTGAATGCAAAACAATCACAGTTTATTTCGTCTTCTCCAGTGAAAATGCAGAGACCTTTGAAATCCTGCTTATCGGGGCGTCAGGAGGAGCAGTTCTGGGATCACGGCGTGTTTCCACAGTCACCATCTCCAAGAGCGACTCTTTGAGTGGTTTGGTCCGTTTCGTGAATGAGAGCCTGATCACTGTGGTCAACCCTAACTCCACGATCAGGCTCAGTCTTATTTTGGAGCGAGTAGGAGGCTTGGTGGGCAATGCAACGGTATGAAGAACTGACACTAACATCTGCTGCTCTTCGTTTTACTTTGCCTAGGACAAACAAATGTATGAATTCAATACAGGTTACATGGATCATTCGAGGTCCAAACAGCAGAGAGGTTCTTCCAGCATCCAACACAGACATTAGAGAGCCAGTGAACGGGTCTTTCTTCTTCGTGGATGGAGAAAGAAGTACACACGCCATCCAGCTGATGATTCTCCCTCACGAAGAGGTGGAGGTGGCAGAGATGTTCATCATAGAGCTTAACATTTGGTCTGGGGAGATGGATGTAGATCCTCAGGCTGGTGCAGTAACCCTGAAGGTAGGTCATAGTGTTGATGTGTTTTTTTTTCTTTGAGTATCAGGATTCTTTTCAACATGTTCTTAGCATGTGTTTAATCCTCCAGATCGAGAAGTTTGGTGATCCAAATGGTATCGTCCAGTTCACTGTGGATTCTCTCAGTGAACGGGTCTACAATGAATCTACAGAATCAGAGGGAGTGTTCAACATTTCCCTCTTCATCACACGCAGAGAAGGGGTCGTGGGTAACATCACTGTATGTTTACATGACTATTAATCCAGCTGCCATTCTTTATTCTTCAAGTTGTAATATATTTCATCAAAATGCAATAATAACCCTATTCATTGGAATAACTAGTTTCTGTTTCTTTGCTGAGTTTTTCTTATGGTTTGTGTAAATTTTTGATTTTGTTCGACTTTAGGAAATGGTCTGAAGGTGTAGTTTCAAAAACAGCTACAGGTCCTTGGTTTTATAAATACAGGCCAATCTGGTGACTGATGTGTAGTATCATTGTGGAGGACATTGTGGAGGGGACAAGCATCTTTAATAGCTTTGTGTCTACTAAGCATAGCTGTAATTTCATATTTTCACAGGTCCATTAGGAAATAAAGAAACATTTGTTATTCTTATGAAATTTATTGTACTTTTTCATCCCTATTGTCCTTAAAGGTATATATTTTAAACTCCACTCTCACCTCAGGTTTACTGGAAGATACAGAGTGACTCAGACATGTCAGGAGACTTCCTTGTGTCCGCTGGCTCAGTGAATATTCAGGAAGGCCAACGGGAGGGTGAAATTCTCCTCAGCCTGATGCCTGACATGGTTCCAGAACTGGATGAGCTGTACACCATCCATCTCACAGCAGTGGAGGGTGGAGCGACTCTGGTTGACAACCCAAACCTCCTGAAGGCCCACATCAGGTACTGTACAGCATATGCTTATAACTTTACTTGAAATTAAAGAACAAAAACAACTTCAAAATTTCCTTTTCCCTTTAGGGTTCTTGCCAATGATGACCCCCACGGTGTCTTCTCCCTCAACCCTGAACAGCAGACTATAGTCGTAGCAGGGTCAGGTCCAGAAGTCAGCAGGGCTCTTGTGGTGAATTTGACACGCTTGGCTGGGTTGTTTGGTAACGCTAGTGTGGGCTACAAAATCACTGGAATGACAAATGAAGTGATGGACATTGAGGACATACTGGGAGGACACTTTGAGGGAAGAGTGTTCATGATTGAAGGAGAACGATTTGTTAGTCTGACTCTACCAATCAGCAGCCAGGTGAGTAAGAAAAGGAAGTTAATTCACTGTAACCAGAGTTATTTTATTTGTTTATTTTAACAGGGCTCTCAATATCAATGCATCAACCACAATGCTTAATTTGTGAAATAAAAAAAAATATATTAATGTATTTTATGGTATGAGGAAATTACAAAAACTCTTTGGCCAAACTTTGCTGTCCACTTGCTTATCAGAGCCCAAAGTGGAAACACATGTATATTGAACCAAACCAAAAGTTTTTATTTCAGCGAAACAAGTGGAACTTGTTATAAAATGTCAGACTCAAATGTGGAGCTGTCAATTTCAGGTCAGAAGCTCAGTGACGATAATTCTGTGGCTGACAAGCTGACCGACACAACAATTTTATGGCTGTATATTAATAATTCAATCATTTAAATTAGTCACAAATGACAAAATTTGTCATATATATATATATATATATATATACAGAACCTAGAACCTAGAGAGGTGGAGGTTTAAACTAGAAAGAAGAGGAATGAAGGTCTGTCCCAGCAAGACAGAGTACATGTGTGTAAACCAAAGGGAGAACAGTGAAATAGTGAGGTTACAAGGAGCAGAGGTGGTGAAGGTGCAGGAGTTTAGGTACTTAGGATCAACTGTTCAGAGCAGAGGAGACTGTGGAAGAGAGGTGAAGAATAGAGTACAGGCAGGATGGAACAGCTGGAGAAAAGTGTCAGGAGTGATCTGTGACAGAAGAGTGTCAGCTAAGGTGAAGGGAAAGGTTTACAGGACGGTGGTGAGACCAGCCATGATGTATGGTTTAGAGACAGTAGCAATAGGCAGAAGACAGGAGGCGGAGCTGGAGGTGGCAGAGTTAAAGAAGCTAAGATTCTCCTTAGGAGTGACAAGAGTGGACAGGATCAGGAATGAGGTCATTAGAGGTACAACACAGACAGGAAGGTTTGGAGAAAAGGCTAGAGAAGCCAGATTGAGATGGTTTGGACATGTGCAGAGGAGGGACAGTGGATACATTGGTAGAAGAATGTTAGAGATGGAGCTACCAGCTAGGAGACAAAGAGGAAGGCCAAAGAGGGGATATATGGATGCAGTGAGGGAGGACATGCAGATAGTTGGAGTCAGAGTAGAAGATGCAGAGAACAGGGAGAGATGGAAATCAATGATTCGGTGTGGCAACCCCTGAAAAAAAGAGACTAATCCAAAAGAAACAGAAGAAAGTCTACAATTTGTCATAAGAATTAATAATTGTGATTAATCCACATATTAAATTTTCAATTGTTTGACAGTGAAAGCATATATAACAAATCTTAAACCTTGTTGATTTTAATAAAATGTCTTTACTAGTTACTAATTTGAATCAATTTGTTTTCCCATAAAATAATTGAAGGATACAAAAATTCTTCACCAGAAATACAGAATAGGATTTAAAAGTTATTGTTTCTGTTTCGGCACACGTTCCTAATTTTCATCCTGCTTTTCTCCTGAAGGTATTTCTGTCAGTTGGTGAGATTTTCACTGCACAGCTCACAGATGTCAAACTCATCAGCCCTGTCTCTGGCTCACCACCTCGTCTCCTTCTTGAAGCCAGCGTAGCCATGGTGACCTTGCCTGAAGAAGCTGCCAGCTCTGAAGTGAGTTGGAGTTGTGGTTTTTTGTGAAAATTGATGAAATAAAGTTGGTTTGACTTACCATTTTAGATAAAGGTTTTTGAAAACTCATCATCTACTTCATAATTCTACTTCCACTTGTCTTGTACAGGTTGGTTTTGCCTCAGTGGCTCTGCAGGTTTCCAGTTTAGAGACAGGAACATGTGAGGCAGTGGTGGCACGGAGAGGTGTGTTTGGAGACATCACAGTGCACTGGAATGCTGGTTATCCTTCAGGTCAATCTTTGCCTGGATTTAGGAACGGAAATATCACCCCAAACTCAGGTAATTCACACTGTTAGGTAATCATGATCATACAGGCTCAAAGTTGAGCCAGTTTTGCCTTCACTGACCTGAAACCACCACTATGTTGTGATGCAAGGGAGTTCCACTTTTCCCCTAAGCCCAGTCTATTCTGAAGACAACAGGTACAGTGTACCTGAACATGTGGCTCAGTAAAAACGCATAAGAAGTCATGTGATTTTTCCTAAGCTCAGATGCACCAGGAGAAGTGCTAACAGCAGGCTGCAGCTTTCCACTGCTCACATATGCTGTTCCCATCAAACTATAAGCCATATATAACAGTTGTTTCTATTGTTTCTACCACCAAACTAAATTTGTAAAAGTGTGTCAGCATCTTTTTTTTAACTCCTTTTCCTTGTCTTAAGGCTCTTTGACTCTTGTCCATGGTGAGAAGTCTAAAGCCATATCCCTCACAGCTCTTGCTGATGTGTTAGAGCCAGTGTCCTATGCGATTCACCTCACTGCTGCCACCTCCAGTGCTGGTGCTGCCGGTGCGGTCAAACTCAGGTAATGACACAAAATCATGGAAATTTCACAACTACAGCCTGCGTTAAAAGGAACTGAATATATTGCGCAGTGTTATCTTGATGATTCTTTTTTTCTCCACAGGTCAGGCTTCACCACAGCAGAGGTGGAGCCCTTGGGTGTTTACCAGTTCACTCCTGATTCCAGCCAAATAGTCATTGCTGAGGACATCCAAACTATAACACTGTATGTTCAGAGACTTTATGGTTCTCGCGGTAATACCACCTACATTTCATATACCACAGTATCAGGCAGTGCAGTAGCAGGAGAAGATTTTCTTTCAGTGCCAGACGGACGTTTGGTCTTCAACTCTTCTCGCCAAACCAATGCTTCGTTCCAACTTTCTATACTTGATGACTTATTTTCGGAGCCAGATGAGTCTTTTCAAGTCAACCTGAATGATGTTCAAGTCATTGATCCAGATTCTGTTTGGGCAGACGTTTACCCTCGTCTTAACCCTCAGCAAAGTGTTGCCACCGTGACAATTTTGGCCAGCGATGTGACAGGTGGGATTCTGAGTATTGGACCTGGACTAATACAAGTGCCAGAGGACAAGGAAGAGGAGACACAGCAGGAGCGAAAGGTGGTTCTGAGGGTGCGGAGGTCCAGCAGCGTGGCCGGAGATGTTAGGGTTCGAGTCCAGGCCTACGGAGGTTTGTATTTAGATTTTAATTATAGAATCGAATCCATACTTCCTCTGTTTTTTATACATTGTTTCACTTTTACATCCAGAGGGAAGCTCCACAGCTCTCCCCTTCACTCTGGATCCTGTTGGTACCCTTGCAAAGGAGCTGGAGGACTTCAGACTGGAGTCCACCATAGTGTCTCTGCAGGCCGGTCAGAACGAGACCGAGGTTATTCTCCTTATCCTGGATGACGCAGAGCCTGAAGGACAGGAAGTGTTTTTTATTTACCTCAGTGAGCCAGAGGGAGGTGCTCAAATCACAGACACTTCATCTCAAGGCTTTGGAGCTTTCTCAAAGATCACTATTCTTGGTATGGTTTTTCTTCATTTGTCTCTTTTGGCTTAAAGATTAATGTTTCATTTTAGTAAACTGGTACAGTACTTATTTTACACATAGGTTGGATTACATTTAACTGTCATTATTTTCCCTTTTTGCCTACACCAGGGAGTGACTTCCATAATGGCATCATAGGATTTAATTTGAACTCATTGACAGACAAATTACTTGACGAGGACTCAGAGAACAGAACGACTGTCCTGTTCCTACAGAGGCAAGAAAACAGGTAGAGACCTTTTTTTTCCTGAAAATTGTTTGTGTTTTAAAATGATGTTTAATATTCATGATGATCTTCCCTTGTCCTGTGGTGGTTTAGAGTCTTTGAGAATGTGCAGGTCTTCTGGAGAGCTACCTTCAGCAAGGCAGCTCCACTTCTGGTCAGTGGTGGAGTTAATCTGACTACACAGCTGTTACACACCTCAGGAACAGCACTGTGCAGGAAAGGAGAGACGATATGTGCTTTGACCCTGGAAATTCTCGATGATGAGGTGAGAGCAGAGGTTACACATGAGCTCCAGAGATGTTGATAAATGTTGATTTAATCCAACTTTCAAATTGCCCTTATGGAAGTAAACCTGAAGGTATTGACCTTTATTGACTTAATAATAATAATAATAACTTTATTTATATAGCACATTTCATACATTCAAATTTTCTAGACATGCCAAGTGATCAAAGTCAATGTCCCATGGCAGCAATGGGGGTGAGGAAAAAACCTCTGGCAGGGATGAGTAAAAAACTCCCTTTTTCTAGGAAGAAACTTGATCGATGATCGATGCATCTTGACCTGGGATATTGACTTGAGTTGAGAATATGCTTAAATTTGACTAGCTGATTATAAACACCATGCGTTCATTCCCTCCCTGCAGCAAACAATACGAACACTTGTTACTTCAATTCTCCAACTTTGTTCCCACTGAAACAAGTTATTCTACTGGTTTTAAGTCTACTAACTATGATGCAGGATACCTGCATCTGTGGTGCTTTAAACCATTGCAGCAAAAGTTTATTCATTCTTACCTATACCCAAAATACCCAGAAAGTTGAAAACTCAAACTACTTTAACTACATTCTAGTCTCAAATAGTCAAAATTGTCCCCACAACGAGAAAGAGAAAATGGACACAGAGGGTAGGATCCCTGCAGATCAACACAACACCAGACCCTTGTATACGATGTAGGGTGCTTATAAGACAATATGCTTTCTATACGTTTAAAAATAATTATATGTCGATAAATGCATGTATTTGAGATATGATTATAATAATACATAACTTTGTGGCTGAAGGAGCCAGAGTACCAGACGTGGTTCTTGGTGGAAATCTATCAGGTCGGGGCTGGAGCTGCCCTAAATGATACTATCCGTTTTGCCAACATCACCGTGGTGGAGAGTGACGACCCACAAGGCATAATCTACTTTGCTGTGGGCCACAGGCTGCCCACTATTACCTTGATGACCACAAGGTTGAGTCTGCAGGTCTACAGACTAGCCAGCACAGACTCAGTTCTGTCTGTAAATTATCGCACTTTGGTAGGTTTTACTCATAATGGAAAAAAAAAATCTATAGGTGCTTATTGAATTATTCACAGTCTTGTTTGTGTTTTTCTTCACCAGGAACTCGACAGAGAAGAGGTTGTGGGTCCTTTTCTCATCCACCCTGCTACAGAAGGGAGGGATTTTCCCAAACAGGAAGGCCAAATAACCTTTCCTACAGGCCAACGTAACACATCATTGGAAATTTACCTGACACCAGATCTCGCTTCGTCCAAGCCCACGCCAAAGCGCTTCCAGGTGGAGCTTCACAGTGCCACAGGGGGCGCACAAGTGCATCCTCAGTTCGGGCTAGCGAACGTGACTGTGGTGTCAAATCCAATGAGTGAAGCTGTGTGGGCTGTACTTGACCAGTTACATCAGCCTCTCAGCTCTAATATTTTAAACCAAGTGCTTCGAGGACTGAGCAGTAAAATCATTGCAGCTGTCAGTCCTGAGCAGATGACGGCCGTGCTGGAAGGTCTGAGGATGGTAAGGAAAGGTTATTGAATGAAGATTATTGAATGAAACATTTTTTTAAATGAAATCTGTAATTGGAGATGCAGGTTGTTTTGTCCTGATTTGTGTTTTTTATACAATCAATGACATGTTAAAGTAAATGTCAACAACAATGTACCTGCTGTTGTTTCCCTTAAACAGTAACAGGATCCTTCAGGGGTTCTAGGTTAAAGGTTCTAGATTCATTCATTTGAGTATATGAATATTTTAAAAGAACATCATCTGAATATATATTTATATATATGTTATTTTTACAAGTCTTTCAAAAAGTCTTTCAGAAGTTATTTTAAAGTAAAAGGCTAATCTAGTCAACTCAACTTTGAGCCTGTATGATCATGATTACCTAACAGTGTGAATTACCTGAGTTCGGGGTGATATTTCCATTCCCAAGTCATTGTTATATTTAGCAAAAATACACTTAAAAATAATTTGATGATAAAACTAAATATTTTCAAAACCAGTTTGACAGTAATTAAATACACGTGGGAGAAAATACTACAAGTACAAGAACATTTTAATGCATTAAGATGAATAGAAAAATAAATTTAGTATCAGCAGAGTGTTGCCAAATAAAAGAAAAACATGTTTTTATAGGAAAGTTACATTAGTTGCATGATACTGTGCATTAAAATACTTAAATACTGTGTATTTCTAATAATTCACTGACTTCATTTACTTCTCTCTCCTCAGGTGCTCGTAGAGGCAGAGAAGACACCATTGCAAGAAAGCAGCCGGAATTTGACCAGCAACCTTTTGTGTACTCTGGCCAATCCCAGCAGAGCTGACACCAGAGGCCTCAGTTACCTTGCAGAGTTGGCAGAGAGGTTTGCATTCTCTCTGCTCTCTCACAGCCAGTGTGAGATGTGAGTATTTCCCTTTTTATGTTAAAAAGGAATCTTTTGACAGATTAAGAAGAAACAATTTTCAAATTAAAATCATATCTTCTCCTTTCTGCTTCCTTTCTTCAGAAGAGCAACAGTCCTGGAATCATGTCCATACATGAGCATCTCTGTCTTTCAGTGGTACCCAACACAGATCAACGGCCACAAGTTCAGAGGCAGAAACGCAGACTTCTTTCAACTTCCAGATAATTTACTATCAGTTCCACCAGCTCTGACCTCTGACTGCAACAACCTCAGTCAGATTCAGCTGACCGAGTTCAGAACTGACCACTGGTTCATCATCAATGAAACAATCAATGATTTCAGTGGAAAGGTAGGAAAACATAAAGGACGGCTTGAGTTTTCCAAACCTGTGGAAGATGTTGTTGTTTTCTGAATTCTTAGAATCCTATGATAACATTTTGACATTCAAACCATAATAATGCAATTTGCATTTACACATTTTCAGTTTTGGCTTGAATCTCCAAAAGTCCGAAAATGTTCTAGTTATGACTTATTCAAAGCATATGTTTTGAATAAACATATGTTTTGAATAAACATATGATTATAAATAGTTTCAGAACTTATAATTATGTCTTATAATTTACTTTTTAACCTAAATATTCCATCAATAACCGGCAGGTGGCAGTATTGCTTTAAAAGAAACTATGTTGACTGTTTGATTAACCCCACAGATGATCGCTGTTCCCTTGATTCCAGGTATTTTCAGTCAGCCTGAAGGACAGAGGCCCAGGTCCTCTAGAAGCAGGTAAAGAGGTGGTTTATCGACTCCACAGCCCTGGTCAACAAATTAAACCTGGTCGATCTCAGTGCCTGCTGTGGAACCAGACCACTGCCAGGTATAGTCACCCGCAGCCACATGTCAGTTAAACTCATACTAAGAAACAACTAAGAATATCTAGTGTATTAAAGGCAAAGTCTTAAATATAATGATGCCTTCAGTGGTAATGGTAAATGTTGCTTAAATAATCATGCCATAATGTCTCTAGTGTGAGAAGAGCAGATTAAAATGACTTTCTTTACTCTTAATAGAAATTGAACTTAAAATTAGGAACAAGAAAAACAGAACAGACTCAAAACAAAGTCATAAATAATGGTTACACCCATTTATTAATCAATTAGTTTAAATTTAGCTTTGAGTGTCCAGTACATGTACAGGTCTCTTTGTCTCTTGAACTCACTTTGTTGAGGACATTCTTGAGGCATAGATAGAGACCTGGCTGGAACACAGTGTTACGACAGGTTGAGAAATAACAGGTGTGGTTTGGCTTCAGCACTTGGATAAAATGTAACGGACTACAAAGACAGATGAATAAGTGTTTGTTACAGAGCAGGAGGCAGGAGAAACACAATTGTTCTCTCACAAAGAGAAGTCCATAGAGCAGTGGAGTGAACTTAATGTTCTCCAAAGGTGGAGATTTCATACAATAGCCATTCAATCTCTGAGAAAATAACTAGGGTTACTATATTCTTAATATAACAATTCTGCGGAAAACTCCACTTGTGTTCGCATTAACACATAAATCTAACCAATTGTATTCATAAACTATGACCTGAAGTTAAAAAGAAAGTCGTTTCAGACTTGTATTTCTGACAGTGACATAGGTGTGAAAAAATAAAAAATAACTTTAATAAATGATCTCTCCTCTCCATTGCCTTACAGCTGGACAGCAGACAGTCAGTTCTGTAGAGTTGTCAAAGAAAGTGAGAACTTTGTGGAATGTGCCTGCTCTCACTTGTCCATCTACACAGCCTACGCAGACTTTGCCACACTTGCGTCCTACAATGAGGCCTTCTATGCCTCAGGATTCATCTGCATCTCAGGTACAGCATTTTAAAAAAAATTTTTTTCACCAGCGGGCAGTTAACAGTGTCAAACGAGATGAGTAAAAAGACATGCTTTTCGGATCAGTGAAAACCTTATTTTCTCTATTATGTTGTATTAGCATTGATGTATTAACTTCCATCCATCCATCCATGTTCATCCGCTTATCTGTTACCGGGTGACGGGGGCAGCAGTCGCCACCTAAATCACATTGCACCGTACCAACCCCCACTAAACCTTCCTGTGGGTGGTGAGTCCACTGGAAGGTACCAACCGCCCTAACCGGGAGTTGAACTTACCCAGGAGGTGAACCCTGGGATTCCACACCAATGACAGAGACATTGCCTCTGGGCCAAAGCACCACTGATGTATTAACTTAAAACATATATCAAAAATAAATATAGAAGGCAGAAAAGGTTACAGTATTTGGTACATTCACGTGATACATTATTATCTTTATTTTTAGGAACAAGGGTAATTGATATGGTTCTAAGATACTGTAGATTATAAGTTTATATTTGAAATAAATGTAAAATATGTGTATAGAACAGCTTCGACAAGTTTTATCATCATATCTATGTCAAGAGTTGACCTCCCTAACTAGTGTTTTTTTTTCAAGAGTTCCTTTTTATAGCTCGATTGCTAACCCTGCTAGCTTTAAACGGGAACTTTCCAGCTCCACCTGATTTGTTAAATTCATAGTTCTCTGATTCATAGTCCACTAGCTGCCAATTTACCACTGAGGTGCTCTGAGCATGGCACCGTCCCCACTCACTGCTCCCTGGGTCCTTAAAGCTGCCCACTGTTCACTTTGGTGATGGGTTAAAAGCAGAGGTCACATTTTGGTTGTGTGCTGTGTTCACAAACAAATAAAATATAATAATCAAATATAGATAGCCAGATATGTAGCAGAATCTATTTTATTTAAACAAATAACAATTTATTTCTATTTGCTGTAAAACTGTCAACTTACCATTGTTCATCTTATTATTAGTTCTCATTATTTATTAATTAATTATATTTATATATTATTAATTATAATTTAATTATCTAATTACATACAAGTTCGAGATAAATCAGCTATATCATCAGAATGGAGAAATTAGATGGTTTTAATCTAGCTCAGTGGTTCTTCAACTTTCTATACTCTGTACCACCTGAGAAAACTCTGATCTCTCTGAGTACCACCATGATGACCAACATTAGAATATAGCAGCGTAGGCCTTTCCTGTTAGCTTCTACCACACAGGAGAGAGGTTTATAAATGTTTAGAAAGATGTTTATGTTTAAATGTTGTATTATTTGTACATGGTATGTTTCAGATTTATTCAACTGAAAATGTAAATGTGAAAATATGAATTTTCCCCGTACCACAGTTTGAGAACCACTGGTTGAAATGACTCCATCAGCAGTTTTTGTGTTTTTCAGAAACTGCTAATCCAGGTGGAATCACTTAACTATGTTGTAATATATACATATATTCTATATGTTGACATTACATTAAGTGGTCCTTATGTCATTTCATTTTTACCTCTCTGTAGGCCTTGCACTGGCCATTATCTCACACGTGCTCTGCTCCCGTTTCCCCATGTTTGGTGCCAAACTGCTCACCCACATGATGGTGGGCTGCCTGGGAACACAGGTGAGAAAATTCACTCTCAGCTCTGAGGCTTTAGTGACATTCTTGTCGACCAAAAATGGGCACAAAGACCCATAATGGGATGCTCACAAGTTCTTGGTAACGCAATTGTTTAATTTTCTCTCCGGACAAAGTGATAGAAGCATCTATGTGTTATGTGCGTTCTCTCTGTTCTGCACTAACATATTGTCTTTTAGCCATTCTTAGAAAGGTGCATTGACATTAACATAGACACACACACACACACAAACACACACGTGTGCGCACGCACACACTTATCACTGAATGTCACTGCCTGCGTAGTTTGCGGGCGGCTGTGTCATGACAACGCAACCATGCACCCCGCACTTGTATCCATTAAAAAACGCAAGCTGTCACATTAGCAGAGAGTGAGGCAGATATGTGGCGGTCAGCCGGACCCCACCGTGTGTGTTTGTGTGTGTGCATGAATGAGTGCGGGACTGGTAATTTTCCACTGGTCTCCCCTGTCTTCATTTGACAAACACGAGCCCCTGCTAAAACCCAGTGTCGTTGGGGGCAAAGCAACTTGGGCTCTGGTTGTTTATGGCCCAGGCAGAGCCCCTGAACCTGAGGTGGTTTTGGATGGAAAATTCCATCCTGTTCTGTTTCCTTGTTGTTACAGAACTTGTCCTTCAAGGCCTTTTCTTTGTTTCTATGTCCTAGATGAAGATGTCCACAACATCCTATCATTCTAAACTGTTAATATCTCAAAAACACACCTGCACTTCCCTCACCTTTATGTTGAAGCTGTTGGCAGAGGACTAAGTGGTTTAAACAACCACAGGATGGAGGTCTGACTGTTCATATACTGGCATTAAGAGTTATTTGATTGATGATAAGGTGCCGGTTACTGACTAAAACATGGATCATTTTCCATCATCGAAAACACATACTCTCTTTATCTTTGATCTAAACAAATACTACTGTCTTTTTTAATAAATGTCACACAGCAGATTTGTTGGTACAGATGAAAATTTGAACCACAAGACATACTGTGTTTATGACCAAGAGCCGCTTTAATTAATGGGCTTTAATACAACTATCAGTTCCATAAACAAAACTCAATACAGGCAAAGATTATTTTATGTTATTATGATCTCAGTCATTGATGTTTTTTTTTTTTCAATTTTTAATTAAGTTATTTATTTGATGAATTCATCTTGGTTGAGTCAATTATCACAAAGACAGTTGTGCTTTTTTCTTTTTATTTGAGTGATTTAGCTTGGAGCAGGCTGCAGCAGTGTGACCTTTCCCTAAAGGACAGTTGATGTATTGCTGACATTTTTTGTCTACAAACTCTGCCAAATCGATGTGTAGCCTTGTTACCCAATAACTGCTCCAATGCAGTGGGGATCTCAGTGACAGTAAAACAGAACTGCCTCTTGTGCTTTTGGAGGTCAAACCTCACATCATTATCATCGTCATCATCAACATCATCATCCATTAAAAATGACCACTTCAGCTCCTGACTTTAGACAGAAGAGTTTTGTTGTATCTGGAAATGACCTCGAAATAAATGAGCGATTCTTTGTATTTGTGCAACCTCTTAAGTAAGGGTTAGGTGTTGAAGTTTTAAACGGTCTGGCTGTCTGATGTCAGTATGAGTTAATTGTTTGGGAAATCAAAAAATACTAAAAAGCTTTAGGTCAGGTTTATTTAACGCATTTTATCTTGTTTTCCAGTTATCACTTTTTTGATATTGTCTAATTAATAAAGTTATTGAAACTTGATTTTTAAAAGCAAGAAATAACTTTTGTCCCAGCAGCTTCATCACCTCTCTCTCTTTTAAAGCGAAAAGGGTTTTTTTTCTGAGCACATGTTTTATTATATCAGATGTCACACCGCCGCTTCATCCTCTTCTCAGCAAGACAACTAAAGATTGTCTGTGCAGAGTGGAAATTTACCCAGGTCGTGTGACAGAACCTCCAGTCTGTGTGGCTCATCTGTATCCGCCACATGGGGCAAAAAATAGTCAACATGTGTAGTTGGTCCAGTCTAACCTGTGTCCACCATGAGTGGGTGTCCAGACTGGACAGTTATATATGATGCTGCAACTTCTGTTCTGAGAATATGTTGTTATATATATTTTATTTTTGTTATCTACTAGAAGGAATATATGTTTTCTGTTTGAAAAAACCCCCCACACAGAATCAGATATTTTTAAATGTGGATGACAGTGACACATGGTCACTAATGTTATTACAATCACACTCTGACGTCAGCGTCAGTGTTGTTCTGTCCTGAGGATGGACCGATGCCTTCCGTGTCTATCCCACCCAACATTAAGCCTTGGCAGCAGTGAGATGGATGTTTTCTGGCTCTGGTTCCTCTGGTTTTTCCTGTCATTATTCTTTATTTCTAATCATTCAAAGGAAATCCAGTTTCCCATGTTTAAAAATAAAACAGACTTTCTACACAGATACAGATAGGGCCGGGTTTTTGAGATACAAACACAAGCCAGCAATCCTAGTGCTGACGATGAAGTGATAATAATAAATTAATAAAAATGTAAAAAATAATTCAATTTTATAGGTTCTCCTCTCACATCTCATACTCAGTGGGAAAAATATATATGATGCACAGCATCTAGAAATACAACTGGTAAATCTATTGTAGAAATAGTGTGATGAGTATATGTAGATATGTAGTTTGTATTTACACCCAGCCGTATGAAGTGTAGGAAATGCAGCAGATATCATCACCATATACCGGCCTGTGACTGGATTCCAAAATAAACATCAAATAATAACGTTAGACAAAAAAGTGTTTTTTCTTTTTCATTTTATTTGAGTGTCCAGCCCCCGACAGTAGTACTATAGTTGGCAGTATAGTAATGGCACAGTCAGAATCAGTTAAATGTTTGTCATCCTTTGTGTCATGTGTCACAACTTTCTGAACATGGAAAATAGATTATTATTGATTTAAAATTCAAATTAAGTATTAGATAAAGTACAAGCTGAACAACAAAAGAAATGTAAATCACAGATCTCAAACTCATGGATCAGGGTTCTTTGTGGTACACAAACCTCCCACATTTGGCCTGTGACTAGTTAATATTTTTTTCAAATAAGTTTAGTTATTCACTAAATAGGATTCTGATGCTGGCCATTTGGAAATGGAAAGATACACAGAAGTAATATGTAATATTTATATTGACCAAAAATCGCTTTTTAAAAAAAATATTTGGGCTTTTTGTATTGAACATGTGAACAGTTTAACAGTGATGTGCCCCCAACTCATTTGTTTGAGTTGGAGACCCCTGGTGTTAAGACCCAAACACCTAATGCAGAGTTTTGAGAGAAGTGGTGTAATACCTGACAGAATTATATCAAGTGTTGATTTTTATGGTCTGAATGTTTGGTCTCAGACTAGTGCAATGTTGCTTTTGATGTGTAAAACAATTCTTCTTTAAACATCAGTTTCTTCACTTACTGTATGGAACAAACTGATCCCTGGTGGATTGTCTGCAGACAAATATTTATATTTGGGTGTGAGAAATTAGACATCTGAATTCAGACTGTGCTTAAATTCCTTTCACAGTCCTGGCAGTTAATTCCCACACTGTGGTCCCAGCACTCCACTCCTTGTCTATTTAGGTGATTTTGAGTTCTGGTTATAAAAGGTTTCCTTTGAGTTCTGGGACTGGTTCCAGCATTCAGCAGCCTACTGCTCAAGCTACAATGAGATATACACACATAAATACATATATCCTTTAACACACACACACACCCATGACTCATAAGACCCTTTATTAGCATCACTTCCTGTCCTAGAGAAGAATAAAGAAGTGGCGTGATTGCTGTCAAAAGGTCCTGTTTGTGGTGTGTGTGTGTGTGTCTGTCTCAGAGAGAGGGAGAGCTTGCATGAAGTTTCCCTGGTATTCACGAAGAGGAAATTGTGTGTTGCATAATCCAGGCTGCTCCGTGTCTTTTTTGGTAAAAGTTAACATCACCACCGAGTCTGAGGCTGTAAATAAAGTGAGTGATTCAGGAAGTTTATCAGTTCTCATGAGAAACATCCATCCATCCATCCATTTTCATCCGCTTATCCGTTACCGGGTTGCGGGGACAGCAGTCGCTACCCAAATCACATTGCACCATACCAACCCCCCAAACCTTCCTGCGGGTGGTGAGTCCACTGGAAGGTATTAACCGCCCTAACCGGGATTCGAACTTGTCCAGGAGGTGAACCCTGGGGTTCCACACCAATGACAGAGACATTGCCTCTGGGCCAAAGCGCCACACTCATGAGAAACAAGCAATCGTTAAACCATTAAAGGCAGACTAGGCGTCTGTTTGACAGGGTTCTCTCTGTGCTTGCTCTTGCTAATGTTTAATGTCTGCAATGTTTTAGTTATTTAAGAAAAGTTATTTTTTTCTATAAAAAGCAACCAACTGATGCAACTTTATAATAGAACTTGTTGCCCATGTTTTACTGACCTACTTCAAAGGACACCAGTAAATTGGAAAAGTTACTAAGAAGATCAAAAGTTGGTTTTGATGCATGACAAATATGCAGAAAAAAGGGTCATAAGAAAAGTACTGTAAATAAACTGAACCCTAAATGACAAGCGTTGGCCAAAAGCAGACAGGATCCAGACCAACAGAGATTTTTGATGTTTTCATTGATACCATTAAGATAAACTGTAATGATAAGATTACGCTGTAAGAGCTTTAAAGTTTAGACTGACCTTATGAAAAGGAAAACTAATGACCAAGTTAGAAACTATAATGGTTCACATGTTAACACATACATTCATATTTTAAATTTTCTTTTCTATTTTTGTATTTTCTTTTCTTGTTTCTTTCTTTCCATAACAGTTTTTGAAAAATAACAGTGGATGTTTGTGTATATAATACACTAAAAAATTTGCTGTACTTTTGAATACATTTTTATGAATCACTATTAATCTTCACAGTCATACAATTCATCGCACATTGTCAGGGCCAGGAGTGAGTGTGTGTGTGTGTGTGTTCTTGGTA